TATTAAGATTGTGGCTCCCAATAATGAATCCTGGTAGGACTTCTAAGTCTCTCGGAATCGCCCCACTGCAACACCGTGGAAACTTAGGTTGTATTTGTTGGATTACTGCTTATGACGATAATCACAAACGGCGCGAGATTTGAAAGCTTCTTCCTTTTTGAATTTACTAGTAACAAGACGTTCTCTTCTCGACCTGTCGGCATGGAAGTAATTCAGACACACTGAAGATTGCTTTAAACTCTTCACAACTAACTTCTCATTTTCCTTTTTGTAAAATATCCACATATTATATTCACCAATACTTGTTTGTTTACATTCTATGTATTTATTACTTATTTTTTACACACTCACATGAGTCCGCCAATATTTTTTGCCTGACAAATGTACTAAGAACTCATAAATATTTACTGAAATTATAAATATGTACTATGTCTTCGCAACGAAAGTGGTGAGTCCCGCAACATACTACATTTAATCAACAAGCAGCAATGATTTCTAAGTCCACATTCTTCATATTTACAAATGCTCTATACATCGATATTGATCCCTCTTCCCTCGTAAATGCAACAAATTTTAAGCAATATGTTTACATATATTCTAATATTAATACATTTATTTATTTTTTGTTTTTAAAATATTATTGGCCTTCTTATTAATCATGGTTTAATATTTAACCCATATCCTCAGTTTAAACTTGCTTTTTTTTCACACACACACAATGTTTATATATATATATATATATATATATATATATATATATATATATATATATTATACAAAGACAAGCAACTTGTCAGCTGTCAATATACCTCATAGCACCCTCGAGCGCTTAACCTTGGAGCGGGTAGTTTTAGTGGACTCGGCAGTTTTCAATCTGCTTGTCTGAATCGTCTCCAAGAAGCGAGAGCAAGATCTAAAAAGTCAGTCAATCTGACAGTGATCTCATCCCACAATCCTCACTCTTGCTCCATATGCGGCCTCCTTTGTAAATCACAAGCAGGCCATTTATGATTATTGCACAAAATTTCATAACTGAATCAATTAAGTTGTCAGATTCTCATACGTCGAAACCGACGGAAGAGTCCATTTTATATATATAGTTGTAGCCCCTGTCTAATATTTTTGATATCTAACTCCTAGAGTTTTGGAGGTAGACCCCCCTCTAATCATATATATTTTGAAACTACGTTAGCCAGGGTACTTGGATAAGTATATTTCATTTGGATCAAAGGGGGACCCCGGGAGGTACCCCCACCTCAGTGAAATTTTTTTCACTTTGATTTAAATCAAATTTAAATTTGAACAAGGAAATGACTCTTATCCAAAATATAGGAGAAAGCCATAAGATGGAGCTCACATCGGCAAGATCAAAATGACACAGGGGTCAGATCAAGCTGTTTTCGCTCAACTTCCCACTGAATTTTTTTCCTTTTTGATTTCAATTAAATATTAATTTGAACAAGGGAATGACTCCTATCCAAAATATAGGAGGAGAAAGCCAGAAGATGGAGGTCACATCGGCAAGATCATTGAGTAATATTAAAATGCATCATTTTTCTTCACAAATCAATCCTCATTTTCTTACAAAACAAAACAAAAATCTTTAACAGACAGGAAGGCGCGGGTAATTCGGCTAGTATATAATAACTGCAGAAGTCAGTGTGTTAGTTAAAAAACCGTCTCGGCTGGACCCGGAACCGCAATCCTGAAATTTTGGATTCACAAGTTTTCACTACTGCGACTGCTTTCGGCGATTTTTTACGTTATTTTTATTTATTTATTTATTTTTTTTTTTTTGCGAGAATTTTGTTTTTTGTAGGATAACAATTTTTATTACCAAGAAATTAATCCGTGAACTCGAAAGGATCACAACGAATGCTAATCGACATATGTCTAAATTATTTAGCCAAACCTGTTTGAATATATATATATATATATAGTTTAAATAAAATCGTTTTATTTTTTATCGCGTGAGCGTAAAACTCTGGTTACGACTAGGGATATATATATATATATATAATATGATATACGCGTGTGTTATCAATTAACCGTTTTTAATTAGCTTATTATATAGCATTCGAGAAACATGAATGTTTTTGGTATTGATAGTGAACTTGTTTCCTGTTGCCTTCTCCACGGTGATTTTTTTTTTATTGAGAAACCACTAATTAACTGGCCGTAGATTCGTGAATAGTTCCTCCGCCCCCGAGAAATGTAAACAAAATTTAACATCAGAAAGAGTCAGTTAAAATTTCTAAGACACATAATGAGAAAAGAGGCCTAGAAAATTGAAGACAAGAGGGACACAGGATAAGCAGTTCATGACCTCCTACCTAACGAGCTTGTGTACATGGTTGGTAGGACAGGAATTAGAAAAAACGGCGAGAAGTCAATTTACTAAGGTACAAAGGACGGAAAATTGGGAAGAGATACGATCCTGAGGGGAGACGCAACATAGAAGATTGCATTCGAGAAAATAGTTAAACCTGTGAATAGTTATTTATTTGTACGTTTGTACAAAATGTGGCACAAAGCCAAAAAGGGGGTTGAGGAAGGACGGTCATCTTCTGTCTTGATTCTAAACTTAGCTAGTCAAAGACACGGACCCAAAAATACCAACAATATTCCTATCACCAAAACAACACATTCACTCCTACCTTTCTTACTGCGTCCACCATAATGCCTCAAATTCTCCATGAAATCCTAACTAGTCCCCATATGTATATTTCAAAGTCTGTGGGGGGAGGGGAAAAACAACAATTTAAAAAAACTCAATGATTATTTACAATATGAAACCTGTGAATACCATATACACCGGACCCTAAAATTTAATTTAAAAATCTGAGCATTTTGGTATTATTATCGTTTCGATGTCATTTCTCTTCTCTTACGTAGCATAAGATAAAACGCTTAAATTAGTCAAGCACGAGGCCAAATTTTAAAGCGTTCAATTGAGGTTCGAACTTTCAATTTGCTACTGGAATACGAAAGATTCATATCGTATTGTATTCGTGTTTCAGTGCAAGCGAACGATTTTTTTGACTTGGTGTGAGGATACGTATATACAAGTGTAATCATATTGCATTTGAATCCTCTGCTTTTCATCTACATGTGCTTTTTACTTGGTTTAGCTTGCTTGTTGCATTGTGCTGTAATATGTACAATCGAATATATACATATTTGTCATACATATATTCATAGCTTTCATAATTCAAGCACGCATAGAAACTCGTATCTTTTTGTCGACGTTCTTCTGTTCGTATTTCGCTTTTCATTTCAGACAATTACAGAATCTATCATTGCGATGCGAGATTGGTTCATGAAATGAAGTCGATAATGGAATATTGGTTTCGGAATAGAATTTGAAGATCAATAACTCTAGTGCCAATGAGGTAGAAAAGTCGTAGTCAATTACAGAAACGATGACTGCCAAGTCTAGCATCTATGAATATATTAATGAAAAGAGCTACGAAGAGGGAGTAAGCCTGTAATTACGCCAGATTGTCTTGACGGGTCGATTCTGAAACTAAGCTATCTTGCCAAAATTTGTTCTAAAGCCTATATGTATATCTATTTATCCATCCATTTGCATGTTATATACAATTTTTATGTAAAAACCATAACCAGTTTTTTTTCTTTTTTTTCTAATTTAAACCAAAGTTTTAGTATCTGTCTATATTTCTGAGATGATGTATTATGTACACTATTTACATTATTCGGACTATTGTCCTCATTTTGTTGCCATATTTATCACAACCTTTGTGCCGTTTACGCTCCGGCCTTCTTCAATTGGTACAAATGTATAACTGAACCTTTTATTTCGCTCGCTGAAATACAACTGTTCTAGTTCAAATACATGCCATGTTTAATGGATTTCCTTTCCTCAGTTATCAGTTATCTCTTGTTAATTCTCCTCACTCAAGTTCTCCACCGCTTTAACAGATATTGAACATTCCCAACTTCTTTGGGTCCTGAAATGGATCTAATCAACGCCTTTCATCCATTAAGGACACATAGTGAACATATTTGTGATGTTGGTTAGATCCAGTGACAGGACCCAAGGAACAAATAATATAATCTCACCTGGTTAAGGCGGTGGTTCGAAATACAAAGAAATTATCAAATACGTCAAGACAATATATGGAAAATGAACAACTGTAATCAGCGAAATAACCTTCAACATGAAACCTTCGAGAAGGCCGGACCGAGCAGCCAAAGCTACTGAAAGTTTGAAATAAATAAAATTCAATTTTGAGGACAATAGTCTTGCCAATATTCATAGTCAAGAAAGTTTGGTTTCACTAGGGGTTTCCTTTTTCACCAACAAAATATGATTTTATTCTGTTTAGATTTGAGAGAAAATCACATTAGTGAGGATAGAAATCATGATACTAGCGAATTGGTTTTAGAGACGAGCTTATTAAATATCTCGGTAGGGTGAGCTTTTGGCTTGACCCAGGTGGTTATATATATATATATACATATACATATATATATATATATATATATTTTCTCTCAGTTGAGGCAAATGTGATGGAGCCATTTGATATATTCCTGCTTTTGATACAAAACAAAAGGTTAACGTTTGAATGTAAAAATTCCGAAAGTTTCTACGATACGTTGGATGATCAGCAAAGACTAGAGAATGCTTTGATTCCCTCGCGTCTACATGGTTAATCGGATGTTGTCTTATTTTGAGTCATCAAATATAAAAAATAGCTGATGTGAGACGGCCGAGTCTCGATGATAAACGCAATGTGGCGATGCTGACAAACGACTCTAGGAACTATTGTCTTTTTTATGATCGTTTAAGAGATAATTGCATAGATATGAAGAATACATCAATGGATCAGTAGCCCGATACAAGTGAATTTTCATTGCGAAATTCTCGATCTGTGTAAATGACATTGGCAAGAAAATATATTTGTTTGTGTAACGAAAACAAGTATTTAGTTCACCCCCTTCTCAAATTAATCGGTTACTTATTGATGTAACTACAAATGAACTGTGAATTGCTCTCTCCATTTTTGATTTGTTTCTTCCACATCTACATCATTCTTCCTCTGTTAATGCCATATTTATCTCTCTCTCTTTCTCCCAACTGTCCGTTTCCTACCTCCTCCCTTCTCTCTCTTCCGACCGTCCGTTTCATATTCCCATATTTTCTTCCTTCCGTCCGTCTCTCTCTCCTTCGCACCTTTCTACTTTCGGTCTACCCAGACTGACGGTTTCTTAATTCCTTCCTTCTGTCTTTCCCGACTGTTGGTTTCATCCTTCCCTTGTTCCTTCTCGCTAAAAAAAAAATAAATGCCAGACTTTGTTTTCCTACTCCCGCCCTTAATTTCTTTTTCTGTCCTTTACGACTGCCGGTTTCTTACTTCTTCCATTCCCTCCCTCCCGCTTTCTTTTCCTTCCGTGCTTCCTTCCTTCTGGATTTTTTTCTTCCTTCCTTCCTTCCTTCTTTTCTTGTCCTCTTCCTTCCTTCGCGTCTTTCTTCCTTTCTTTTCCTTCCTTTTTCTTCCTTCCTTCCTTCCTCTTTCTTTCTTTATTTTCCTTCCTTCCTTCCTTCTTCCTTTTTTCATTTTTTTTTGCCCTTCCTTCCTTCCTTCCTTCCTTTATTCGCTTCATCCTTCCTTCCTTCCTTCTCGACAACTTCCTTCCTTTCGTTCTTCCTTCCTTCCTTTTTTCTTCCTTCCTTCCTTCCTTCCTTCCTTCCTTCCTTCCTTCGTTCATTCTTCCTTCCTTCTTTTCTTTCTTCCTTCCTTCCTTCCTTCCTTCCTTCCTTCCTTCTTTCCTTCCTTCCTTCCTTCCTTCCTTCCTTCCTTCCTTCTTTCTTTCTTCTGTTTTTCCTTCCTTCCTTCATTCTTTTCATTTCCTTTCTTCCTTCCTTCCTTCCTTCCTTCCTTCCTTCCTTCCTTCCTTCCTTCTTTCTTCCTTCCTTTTTTTCCTTCCTTCCTTCTTTCATTCCTTCCTTCCTTCCTTCCTCCCTTCTTCCTTCATTCCTTTCTTCCTGCCTTCCTTCCTTCCTTCCTTCCCTTCCTTCCTTCCTTCCTTCCTTCCTTCCTTCCTTCCTTCCTTCTTTCTTCCTTCCTTCCTTCCTTCCTTCCTTCCTTCTTCCTTCCTTCCTTCTTTTCCTTCCTTCCTTCCTTCCTTCCTTCCTTCCTTCTTTCCTTCCTTCCTTCCTTCTTTTTCTTTTTCCTTCCTTTTTTTCTTTCTTCCTATTTTTCATTGTTTTTTTTTCCTTTTTTCTGTTTTTTTCCTTTTTTCCTTCTTTTATTTTTTCTTCCTTCCTTCTTTTTTTTTTTTTTTTTCTCTCTCTCTCTTTTTTTCTCTCTTTTTTTTTTTCTCTCTTTTTTTTTGTGTTCTCTTTTTTTTTCTCTCTCTCTTTTTTTTTCTCTCTCTTTCTTTCTTTTTTCTCTCTCTTTTTTTTCTCTTTCTCTTCTTTTCTCTCTCTCTTTTCTTTTCTCTCTTTCTTTTTTTTCTCTCTCTCTTTTTTTTTTCTCTTCTTTTTTTCTCTTTCTTTTTTTTCTCTTTCTTTTTTTTTTCTCTTCTCTTTTTTCTCTCTCTCTCTTTTCTTTTTTCTCTCTTTTTTTTTTTTCTCTCTTTTTTTCTCTCTTTTTTTCTCTTTCTTTTTTTTTTCTTCTCTCTCTCTCTTTTTCTTTTTTTTCTTCTCTTTTTTTTCTTTTTTTTCTCTCTCTCTGTCTTTTTTCTCTCTCTGTCTTTTTTTTTTTCTCTCTTTTTTTTTTTCTCTCTCTGTGTTTTTTTTTCTTTCTCTTTTTTTTTTTTTTTCTCTTTTTTTTTTCTGTCTGTCTTTTTTTTTTTGTTTCTTTTTTTCTCTGTCTTTTTTTTTTCTTTCTTTTTTTTTTTCTCTTTTTTTTTTCTCTGTCTTTTTTTTCTTTTTTTTTTTTTTTTTTTTCTTTTTTTTTTTCTTTCTTTTTTTTTTTTTCTTTCTTTTCTTTCTTTTCTCTCTCTTTTTTTCTCTTTTCTCTCTCTTTTTTCTTTCTCTTTTTTCTTTTCTTTTTTTTCTTTCTTCTCTCTCTCTTCTTTTTTTTTTTTTCTTTCTCTCTTTTTTTTTTTTTTTTCTTTCTTTTTTTCTCTTTTTTTTTTTTTTTAAATCTTTTTTTTTCTTTCTTTCTTTTCTCTCTTTTTTTTTTTTCTCTCTCTTCTTTTTTTTCTTTTTTTCTTTTTCTTTTTGTCTTTTTTTTTTTTTTTTTTCTTTCTCTCTCTCTCTGTCTTTTTTTTTCTTTCTCTCTCTCTCTCCCGACGGTTTCCTCCCTCCTTTGGCCATTGTCTCTCCAGGGTGTCGGTTTCGCACTCCCTTTCTTCCTTCTCTCTCTCTCTCTCCTCCTTCTTTCCGTCATTGTCTCTTCAGCCTGTTAGGTTTTTTAATTCCCTCCTTCTTTCTGTTCCCGACAGTCGGTTTCCTGCTCTCTTCTTTCCTTCTTTCTCTTCTTTCCTTCTCACTCTTCTTTCCTTCTCTCTCTTCTTTCCTTCTCTCTCTCTCTCTCCCCTGACTGTCGGTTTCCGACTCCCACCGTCTCTTCCTTCCTTTTGTCTTTCCGATTTCCATTTTCTTACTTCTCACCACCATTCCTTCTCTTTGCCTCTCCAGATTGTTTGTGCTTTATTTTTTTCTTTAGAATTCTTTTTTCTTTATTATTCCTTCCTTCCTTCTACACCCTTCCTTCCTTCCTTCGATCCGTCATTGTCTCTCCTGATTCTCGGTTTTTTAATTCTTTCCTTTCTTCTGTCTTTTCCGATTGTCGGTTTCATGCTCCCTTTGTTCCTTCTGTCTGTCTCTCTTCCTATTTCTGTTTCTCTCTCTCTCACTCACTCTGACAGACACTCCGCATCTCCTGTTTATTTCCTCAGAAATTGCAACAGGTTCTGAAAGCGTAACGCTACTTTTTTCCCCCTCATACTCACCACCGCTAGTAATCCATTTTCAAGTCGCTTTTCATTTTATGCGTAGTATTGCCTCAAACATGTTTTGCCACGCTCATCACTGGCGCCACTGCTGGAACGCATTCCTTATCATGTAACATTGTTTCAATCTATTATTTGGCTTACGTAAAGATTTAGAATGAGTGCAATTCTTTTTCGCTTGGAGGTATTTATTGATACACCTGTACTCTGTACCTACTTTTATGTGAGCCGTCATTCTGTCAGACTGCTACTTAACAAAGTAAAATAAATAATAATAATGGCCGTTTTGGGTATGACGATAAACTACGTCCATGTCGTGGGTAAGACGATAAGCTGTGTCCGGCAGCGGGGACTCTGATCGGGAGTTTTTGAGGAGCGTGAAACTGCTTCTTGGTTGGTGGTATTCCCAGGTCCACACTAACCCGGGGTGGTAGCACATGTTGGGGTCCTCGCTATGGGCAAGTAGTTAGCCCCCGGGCTAGGGTCGGTACTCTATGACAGTATAAAAGTGGGTTTTAATACCAGAAAGACTTTGTAAAATTTATCAGCAATAGATGTTTGAAAAAAAAAAAAAAACATCAATAGATTTTTGAGAAAAAAAAAAACAAAAAAAACAGCAATAGATTTTTGAAAAAAAAAATCAATAGATTTTTGAAAAAAACAAAATAACAGCAATAGATTTTTTGGGGAAAAAAAATTTACCAGCAATAGATTTTTGAAAAGAATATACATGCAATAGATATACATTATTTGAAGAAAAATATTACCAGCAATAAAAATTGTCGGCATTAAATAACCCACTGAAGTTGATATGCCGTAAAACAAAACAAACTAAACCAATAATAATGGTTGTTGGCAGATTTCGATCTCTGCCATATTACAAGAATCATTTTCTGCCGTCGTGTGTCAATCGAATAAAACAAGATGCGTTACTTTCGGGTCCTTTTGTATGTGTGATATTGTCTGTAGAATTATGCAAACGCACGCGCGCACACAATTGTCTGTTTATCGCGCGTGATTCCCTTCTGTTGTTGCCCAAATACTTCATAGTCATGTTTTATTCATTTGTACATATCGACTTCGGAATACAATAACAGGTCCGGCATGATCATTGATTTCTTTCTCGTTATCACTAACAGTAAAGGTTGATTTTGATCTTCGAATTTATTTCCCAAAAAAAAAAAAAAAAAGCCTCATACATGAAGAGGTTTTATACGAAGAGATGCTGGAAATTTCTCGATCGACTACTAAATTCCCGAAATTTTAGTTTGGCCATAATTATGAAAGTGAATCATGACTAGGAATTTTCAGAAACCCTCTTACGGCAGATCTACAAGAAGCTGAGTTTAGATTGGCGCAAATCATTCGGAGGGAATTGAAAATGCGATTTCGATAGTAACAGCCACACACCTTTTCAATAGACGTTTGGCGCGTTATGAGAATTTTTGAGTTAAGATTATAGTCACCTTTCTTCACTGAAGAATAATCCGATCAGAAGTCTGTACCTATTTAAAGCACATGTAGCTCCACTATAATTTTTTATTTGGGGTTAATTTTATAGATTATGTATGAATTTTTCAGGTGAAGTTTTACTATTATACATAGGGGAATGCTGAAATGTTATCTCCCCTCCCTATTTTCCAAAGTTTGAGCAAATATCAGACTTTTTTCTCTTAAGCCCTTCTTTGTTGGACCGAAAACTCTTAACCATTAATTCGGGTATTAATTAATTCTCAATTAATTTCGTCCCCTATTTATTTATTTTTTTAAAAATATTTATTTTCTTCTTATTGCAATGTTTTCTCGATACACTCCCAGTTTTCCCCATGAGTTTAGCATATTCAGTAGAGTTCTAGAAATATCGAGCAAAATCATATTTTAATCAGCGGACCCATTTTGTCTTTCTGATACCAGTAATGTCTGGTATCCTTTCTCAAAAATTTCTAGAACTCCTTAATTCTTCCTGATGCTAATGATAATAAAATCAATGAAAATTGTTCTAAGAAATCGATGTTTGAAATAATTGATCAGTTCTGTTTTCCTCGACGTTCATGATTATTATTATTATTATTATTAAAATACACCTTTAAATGACAAATCTAGATACGTCGTCAGTGTTGTTGCTCCCATGTCACTAGAAGTTTCGGGTCTAAATAAAAACATACTTCTTCGATGGGCGACCCAACCGAATATGATCAGTATTCAGCCCGCACCCAGAATAAAATTTGCTACTAGCTTTAGGACGTGCATTATATTATTACACTATTTGTCAATTTTTAGTGAAATACAAAAACAGCAATAAATTTCATGACGCATTCACCATTGCTATGAACTAATCTTTTCAAAGTGGGATTAGTAGCATATATAAGTATATTGATATTTACTAAGCTTGCATTCAAGATACAGACTAGCTAGAAGTTTAGTAGATAGCATGTCAGACTCTGATAGCCCAAGCCGGTATCTAACTTTGATGAGTACTCATTGCCCTAACCTGTCAAAACATCATGAAGAATTCTGAAAATGGATGCCACGGGCACCGATGAGGAATGATAGTTAGATATGAGAGACGAAATAAATAAAAAAAAAAAAAAAAAAAAAGAAAGGCTTGATGGTTGGATATAAAAAAAAAAAACGAGTTAAAATAAAAAAAAAAACGTAGAAATTATGATAGATTTAAAATGCTTTTTGTAGAGATAGTGGAAAAGAATTATGAGAAGATTAAACGTAGACGGGCAACTAAGATTGGGAGGATACAGGAAAGAATGAGACTATATATAGGATGAGAGAAAAGCGGAGGCATTACATAAAGCAAGTTTTCGTTATGCACAACCATAGAATTTACACGGGTTTTTTCCTAATTGCAAAAAAGACAGGGAAACTGGCCCGAATGTATCGATGCATAATGAAGTGTCTTCCAATAACATGGACCGATTTTAAATGTGAATTAAGTTTAAGCGTCTAATGATTTCTTTCTTTTTCTTTCAGATTCAACAACTTAAGTCTTTGGCAATTTTAACTATGGAAAGATTAACAATCAAACAACGTGTTAAAGTTTCAAGAAGGCAATTGGAAAAATTGTTCGTAAATTCAAACAACGGTGGCAGTTGTGAAAACACCATTGCGTGCTCATTTACGCCATTCAGATGAAAACATTTGCAGAAACGAGAAACGTTGGCCAAAATCCAGACACCTCTATTCGACGAAAAAGCAGGAATTGAATTTTGCACAACAACGTTACATCGTTTCCAATTGCACTCTCGGTTGGTAAATTATGTTGACCCCAAAATCGCGAAGTGCTCGAAGTGCATTTTGTGTTGAATTTGAACGTCCATTTTCGTAAAAGTTTTTTTGATATCTTTAACACGTTGTTTGATTGTTAATCTTTCCATGGTTGAAATTGCCAAAGACTTAAGTTGCTAAATCTGAAAGAAAAAAATAACATTAGACGCTTAAACCTAATTCACATTTAAAATCGGTCCAAGTTCTCGGAACACCCTTTAGATTCATAGTAAAGAGTTTGATATTTGGAACGAATATGAAATCTCTTGTTCTATGACTTCGTACAGTTATCATAAAGAAGATTAATGGGTTCGTATTTTACGGCTTATCAACCCATGGCAGGTTATTTAAAGCCAGGAAATATTTTTATATTGTAATTTTTTTTATTTTTTTTTATTTTTTATTTTTTTAGATGATTTTAGTGATACAGGAATTGGAACTCTGCTCTCCAATTAACAATTCCATTATCCATTACACCACCCGCACATCCAAACTTACAGTACCTGTCATTCTCAAGTTGTCACCCATTCAGGTGTAGACCAGGCTCGACGTTTCTTAACTTCGGTGATCGTACGGGATGTGACCATAAGGCTCGTAAGAAAGAGATATTTGTATTACGTTGTTAGCACTCAATTTAAAAGTATTTAAAATATTAGTAAAATAAATTGTAGCTAGGATATTTTATTCATAAAAACCTAACACAAAGATATTTGTGCATTTCGTTTCATTTGCATTTGATAAAGTACAAGATGTCCATAAAGTCTCTTTACAATCGAGAAAATTATTACAAAAGCAAATGAACAAATGAATATGCGGAAATTGTCACAAAATGAGTAGATATTGAAGTTTTTTTTTTTTTAAAACTAATTTAATACACCTCTATATGACCGCCATTAGTTGCACGAAGCACATCAAGACAGTACTCGATTTCTTGCCATGTTCACTGTAGCATAGCCTCATCAATGGTGGCAATGGCATCAATGATCTTTTGCTTTAGATCAGTAATGTCCCGTATCTTTGTTCAATACACGATATCTTTAACATAATCCCGTAGAAAGAAGTTCAGGGGTGAACGAGGTGGTCAGGGAAATGTTAGGTGTTCATTTAACAGTAGCTCTTTCATCAACAGGATACCTGAAATAAATATAATGTGATTATAAATTTTGTTAACTACTGAATACATAGAATAAATCTGATTAAGATATCTCATCAATTGCCTTTGTAATATAGTTTTTAAATTGTAAAGAGACTTTATGGACACCCTATATTTTAGCACAGGGGTCAGCAACCTGTCACGCGTGGCACGCCAAGCAATTTCCAATGTCACACAGCCGCAAATGACATCACGAAGTTCGGACCAATAACTCCTACAATGCAAAGAAGATATTTAGCTGTTTCAGTTTTAATATATACTAAAGTATATATACTATATAGTATTATATAAAATATATTGTAGAACAGCTATATTGACCTTGACTTGTATAAAAATATGTATACTGTTGGCACACTGAATGATTTTAAAACCCTAAGTCAGCCCATAGTTAGCAAAATAAACAATGACCTCTGATTTTATGTTCCCAGATTTACAAAATTAGGATTACAAAAATAGGCAAATGAATTCAAGTTTAGTCCTAGTCAGTTATGTTCACGTTGCATTAATTACGCGCTGGGAAAAACATGAATCCATTTCTTATTTTCCACCCTACAACTCCTTTCCTCACAGACGAAACGTCGCTAGCCACTCGCTGCATTATCGCTATTTACATGGCATGTGTCCGTCGTCCGACCACACCTAACCTTTATAACTGGGACCCGCCATGCGAAGTACGCAAGGGTGAATCATCCCCATTATCGTCGTATTCCAATAGTAAGAAGTTCCATTCAGACAGCAAAAAAAAAGAAAAAAAAACTAAATGGGACATTCTCATTTTTTTTTTTTTCGAATCACTACATTCTTGACCTCTTCAAGTCTAGAATTAACCGTTATATTTTCTGCATAAGCCCATGAACTTCACTTCTTGCCCTTTCTTACACTCATACATCAATAAACCTCTATCTTGAGTGGCTATTGGGCCTTGTATTCAGTGACCATTAATATACAAAAACAAACAATTATAGATTAAATAGCAGGGTAGACTAGGCTTTCTACTCTTGAGTGGCAGCCAATCTTAACTCTAAACTGTAGAGAAGACAAAAAAACCCCCACTCCACTCTTTCCAAATAAGTTAACGAAAAAGCAATCGGTTGATAACCATTATCTCTTTCATTTTGAAGGGACATGGTATTAACAAAAAAGTTTTAATTAAAATTAATCTAGTTTCTCCAAATATACGATGTTAAACCGTGTAACTTCCATTCGAATGATTTACCACTTTATCAGTCCAATGTAAGCCGCTGTCCGCATTGACAAAGCACGGTTACCAGGATACAATATTTTTTGTTTATAATTAGTTTTATTGATAGTGAGTTGTGTTCAGACTGCTATTTGGTGGGTATATAATGTCCACTTAACACCGTTAATACTTCCGTTTGGAAACCAGAAACTATCGTCTCTTTCTATCGAATATTGGCTTTTATTAATCAGGATAGATTTTAAAGAGTTATGTCATTAGTCGTGCCGAAGTCGGGCACAGATGTTTAATAATAAAATTTTAATCAGATAAAAAAAGTTTACATTCTTAATTCAAACTTTCCACAATGTTGTCACACCAGTTAAGGAGGGTAAAATTGATAGTGAACTCAAAAACATAAAAAAAAAAACAAAATTTTTTTTGCTGACCTTTTACATTTAAAATCTTTTTTTTTTTTTTTTTGCATTTTTTACCTTTTTTACCTATTCTTTTTCTTCTCTCTCTCTTTTAATATATATGAATTCTTATTTTATATCTTATTCTCTATTCTTCTTCACATCTCTTCTCTTAATTTAATTTTTCTTTTTCTTGCTCTCTTCTCATTAGTTCTTCTTTTACAATCTTCTTCTCTCTCTTTTTCAAATTCTTCTCTCTCTTGCATTCTTCAATTCTTCTCGAAATCTCTCTCAAATCTCTCTTTTCTCTGAAATTTCTTTTCATATTTTTCTCAATCTTCTCTGATTCTCAAATCTTTCTCTCTTTTTCTCTCTCTAAATCTCTCTTCTTCTATCTTCTCACTTCTAATTTTTTAAATTTCTCTCTCTCTTCTTTATCTCTCTTCATTTCTCTCTTCTTCTTCTTTATAATTTATTTAAAAACTCTCTTTCTGATGAAAAATAAGCTCAGAATAAAAGAAAATCTGCAGATTCTGACAAATTTTTCTCTTTCTCTTAAAAAATTGTTTGAAAATCTGATTAACTCTCGTTTTAGGTCTCTTCTAAATTCTCTCTCTCAAGATTCTCTCTTTTCTCTCTTCTCTTTCTCTCTTAGAAAATTTTTTCTCTCTCTCTTGGAATCTCTTTCTGTATTTCTTATTTGTCTCTCTCTCTCTAAGATTTTCTTATCTTCGGAATGATCTTCTTCACTCTCTTCTCTATTCTCATATCTTATCTCTTCTCTCTCTATATATCGGAATTTCATCTTAATTATAGAAATTCTCTCTCTCTCTTGTTTCACTCTCTTCTCTTCTCTTCTTCTTCTTCTCTCTTCTCTCTTCTTTTCTCTTCTTCACTATCTTCTCTTTTCTCTCTCTCTTCTTCTTCTCTCTCTTCTCTCAAATCTTCTCTCAAATTCTCTCTCTTCTCTATCTTTTTCTCTTCCTCTCTCTCTTCTCTCATTCTTTTCTTCTTCTCTCTCTCTTTAATTTTCTTTTTTTGATTTAATGATTCTTCTTCTCTTCTTTGATCTTCTCTCTAATTCTTCTTCTCTCTCTTTTTTTCCTTTTTCTCTCTCTTTTTTTCTCTTTTGTTTTTCTGAAATTCTCTCTTTCTCTCATTGTAGTGGTTCTCTTCTTTCTTTTCCCTCTTCTCTTGCGAATCTCTCTTTTTTGATTTAAAGATTTCTCTTTTTCTCTTTTCTCAAAAAAAAGAAATTCTCTTCTTGACTTTTCTAATTCTTCCTATCTTCTCTCTCTTATTCTTATATTTCCAAATCTTCTAAACTCTTTTTCTCTCTCTTTATTTATAGATATGTGATTCTTCTTATATATCTATGGAATCTATATATCTCTTCTTCATGAAAATCTCTCTTCTGAACTCTCTTCAAATTTTATTGAATATTTACTACTAATAGTGATTTAGAACTACGTTCAATAAAATATTTTCCATTGAATAGAAAGCCTTTCTTTGTAAAAGTTTCTGATGTTGGTAAAAAAAAAAAAAATACGTAAATTTCCTTTAATTGTCCAATTTTTGTTACACACACACACACATATATATATATATATATATATATATATATATATATATATATATATATATATATATATATAAATTAGTGAATATACATAATATTCAACGTCAAGCGCGCAACTCAGTTTCATGCAGTTGCTGCAATCTTCAGATACAAATATAATCTGACCGTTAATTCACGTTCTCGTAGTGATGATTCAAAATTTTGAGTTAAAACTTGTCGACGTACTTATGTAAATCCTTAGTGTATGGTTTTTACAGGCCCTTACTCATGTCAAATGTAACGTCAAGGAAATTGATCAGATTAACGTTGATATTGGTGGTAATATTTAGTTTATGATCCTTAAAGAATTTGCTTAGGTCTTTTCTTGTCCGGTTTATTTGTTAGGACGGCGTTTACGGAGGAGAATTGTCATCGTCTCCGTATATAATGCTGTTTTTTTTTTTTTATCAGATAAATTTGAATCTCCATAGTAACAGTATCCACATAAGTTCACATACTTCCACACGAAAACGCAAATCTTGATTAACTTTCTTAGTCCATAGTTTCGTCGTGATATAAAATCATTTTTTGCGCCTTATGACATTTACTTTTTGGTCGGGGTAGTTCTTGGCTAAATTAATAGCTGCCATTAGCTAATGGGTAGAAGTCAGATATGGAACGGTAAAAATGTGAATTCGTCTTTCCTATCTATATTAGTGAACCATTTAATAGCTTCGTTATGGAGTGGTTTCACAGTGGAGGCTTGTAGTTGTACTAAGTCGGTCCTAAAGTAGGTTCGACGTACAATACGTTAGGAACTTGATATAATAGGTAAGGACGTAGAGAAATCTAGTTGTGGTCGCTGATACTTTAGTATCCGACTAACGGTCGTCCGGCATCGACTGACTGACTGACCCACTGAGCGACTCCCTCGTTACTCTTACTACTCCTACTTATTATAGGTGGGAGAGTCTATTAACTATAGAATAGGTGTGTTCCACTATAACAGGCTGTTGATACGTAAAGACTTTTTAGTATACTTACACACTGTTTCCATAATAGTTTTTAGAAATCCGATGTGGATAGCATGACTCGGAGTTTCATGCAGTTGATGCAATCTTCAGGTGCAAATACAATCTGAGTGTTAATTCGCATATATATATATATATATATATATATATATATATATATATGTGTGTGTGCAAAAATATATATGTATAAAAATGTCTTAAAATAATTGTCGGACTTTGTCAATTTCATAATGTGTGAGGTCATTTGTTTACATTTGATACGCCATGAGCAGATATGAATGTACGTGAGATTCATGGAATATTAAATTTTAAAGACAGTAAAATCAACCTCTGTTGCCGAAACGTAAGGCACGGTTCAGTATAGGATACAGGTTCGATTCCTGTCGGAAGACAAAAATTTTCCATGAAAATTTCTCGGACATTCAGGCCGGTAAATGTTGTTTAATACTGTTTATTACAAAACAGAGCATTTACTTAAATATTTGTATCTATAAAAAGAATGTATAAACATAAAAAAAATATATATATTATATATATATATATATATATATATATATATATATATATATATATATATATATATATATATATATATATATATATATATATATATATATATATATTTATATATATTATATATATATATATATATATATATATATATATATATATATATATATATATTATTAGCAAAACTTCGATTTTGACATATTTCGCCTATGAACCGTAATAACATTGAGAAATTTTTGTATTAAGAAGTCCTTGTTTTTAATGGTTTTCAAAACAACTGACCGACTGTCAAATTTGTTAAAATTGAAAGAAAATATTTAGTGTGTCCGAATCATATTTGGCACATAGTGGGTACATAGTTGATTAACGACAAAGCCAATGGGCAGTAATAAAAACTGAAAACTTGCGAACGCATACAGGCTTTGAAAGCATCATACGTTTTCAGTTTTTTCTTTTTTTAATATACTCAGCACAACCAGTTATATATGTAATTAGAGAAAGAACGTTTCAATGTTAAAACATCCTACCGATGGTATTACAAGTTATAAAAACAGCTAGTGTGTGTGTGTGTCGCCTAACAGCTAGTGTGTGTTCCTCACTGCCTGTGTGTATATGTATGCATCCTTGACAGCTCGTGCGTCCTTAACAGCTAGTATGTGTGTATCCCTTAAAGTTTGTTTTTAAAATAGTGTTCTTAAGACACACACACACAGGCTCTTATTCTTGTAATTCAATAGTAAATTTTGCAGGAAAATTCAGATAACGTCTCCGAGTTAAATGGTGCGTTAAATACTAGATAAATCGAGCGTTTCTTTTTGAAAGAGGAAGGGTGGTACGGTCTATATTGAAAGCACACTAACGTGATAAGATATAATGCTCAGAGCGTCGAGTAAACTTTTTCGCATTGGTACAAGGCGTAACTGAGTTGTCTACTTTTCTAGATCAGTGTCCGAACGAGACGAACGTCATAAACATAACTTTATTTCCTTCAGTTAAATCGATTCCGTTTCTATGTCCGCCAATAACATGAAACACGTGATGGTTTTCGTGATTAGGCGAGTCTTCATTCCAGCTTCATGCCGAGGCATAGAATGAAAGTGTCTAGGACGCAGAGGCTGAGGTCTCGTCTGAGGCGGGAGTAGGATGAAGAGTAAAACAGAAAAGAGGTTGTAATTGTAGGGATGCGTGGGGTTGGCAAATTCAATCAAGTATGCTCGCTTCATTTACCACATAGACTAACAAAATAAAACTCTTAAAACGATATGCTTGCGTCTAACAGTTGAAACTTGGAAATGCACATTTTAGGTTCTGAGTTTTATTCTAAGTGCCGATTTGGAGAGTCTCTTTTACAGTGTTTCATTATAATGAAAGGTTCTGAATGCAATTTATACAAATCTCTTATTTGGTGAGATAACTGGCCAGTGCTAAAAATCCAAGCAACGAAAAATTGATTGTAAAAGAATTTTCTTTTCATTACAATAAATAAGTTCGCTATTTCGCTTTACCATTTCCGGAAATAGAAATTCATTTTATGCCTCTTGGAATATTTATCCGGCAAATAATCCGGTTAACACTTGGCGTCCTGTTCATTATCCTCGAAAGTTTTTTGATCAGGTGTAGAGGCTTATCCCCTGTTTCATGTTTAGGATTTGGTTTCTGGTGCCTTCTAAATTCTACTTCAAATCTCTACTTCTAACGTCTCTGCCTAAACTCTGAAATTTATACTATTATTGGGCTTCTGGTTTCTTATAAAGTCTTTTCCTTTTCATCTTTCCCTGTGGTCTTTTTGGCATCAAAAAGAATTTTCATCAAACAGTGAAATTAATAACAACTGGTCTAAATTAAGAATAGAAAAAAGGGGTACAGGTTCGATCCCTTTCGGAGTCAGTCTTTCTTTCGGACTTCAAATTTAGTCAAAACTACAGCAACTGAAAATTCTGAAGTTACCAAATTGCGACAAAGTTCACACACATCACGTCTATTTCAGCTCATAAACAATATTATCTTCAACAAAAATTTACTTACAGCTATTAATGACATGATCATGATATCTATCCAATGTTTCCTGATCACTGAAGTTTTTTTTTTTTTTTTTTTTTTAATATAAATCTGGAAGTTTTTAGCAGCTGCATAGTTTGTAAAATTTAGTTTTTAACACTGAAACCCATGGTATGTGTTTACTGTAGAAAAACTGTGGCGTATCCTCTCAATGACAGAAAGATTTGCGTTTTAAACAGGGGTGATCTGACTGAAAAAGACAGCTTCACCGTTTCGTTACTATGGCTTGGCATCGAATGACAATGAAGAGATCTGCTTTCATACCTTAACCAAACTGTGTGCTGATATAATATTGAAGAATGTTCCCCCCCATCTACACATGAGATTTCCCATGTAATAAAATTGCCTGTTATGCTCTACACTTGTCTTGATAGGTTTCGAGCATTACTCTCTTTATTAATAATAAATTTTTCAAATCCAATGAACTGTAGAGACTGGAATGGATAGCAAGTGACATACTTTGTTCTATCGCAAATATTACAGTGAGCAGGAATTTTATATTCACTGCAAACAAAAATTCATTAACGTTATCAAGGCGTCTTACACTTCATTTGTCGGACACAAGTCCTGTTGCGCAACATCTAAAAACATTCCTGTCCACTTTCACAATAATACTACACAACGAAAATAATAAACAAAAACTTTAAATTTTAACAGCCATCCTCTTGACTCAGAGCAGCACTACTTCTTTAAGGCTTGATTTAGGCTTCCGTGTTGAGTCTTGTCCCTCACCAACAAATTTGGGAGTTCATTTCTTATCAGAACGATCAGAGTGAGTTTTTCAAGCTGCCGTACCTTCGTAATCGTCATAAGACTCATCCAACTCTTTTTTGAATCCTCTGCACACTCCTCAGATTGACACCCAAACGCCCAAAATATTCGTATTTGAGCTTCCGGTACGAATGCCAAGCAGAATAGGGTACCGTTTCCAAATTTCCGGTGGAGTGAATTGCTTCATGGTGCTCTTTTTTTCACAGACAGTACCAACTGACCCTACTATACTAGGCAGTCGACAAAATAAAAAAAACGTGCATACGCGATATTAAAAATATAAAATAGACAATTTACCCATAGTACTGTGTGTGTGTGTGTGTCTCTATCTACGTCCCTGTCGATCTATCTATCTACGTCCCTGTCTACGTCCCTGTCTATCTATCTATCTATCTATCTATGCATCTATCTATCTATGCATCTATCTATCTATGCATCTATCTATCTATGCATCTATCTATCTATGCATCTATCTATCTATGCATCTATCTATCTATGCATCTATGCATCTATCTATCTATGCATCTATCTATGCATCTATCTATCTATGCATCTATCTATGCATCTATCTATCTATGCATCTATCTATCTATCTATGCATCTATCTATCTATCTATGCATCTATCTATCTATGCATCTATGCATCTATCTATCTATATATATATATCTATCTATCTGTGTCTATACATGCTATATATATATATATGTCTATCTATCTGTGTCTATTCGTCAATCTGTGTCTATCTATGTATCTATCAATCTATGCATCTATGTGTCTATTTATCTATCTATGTCTATCTATCAATCTATGTATCTATCAATATATGCATCTATCTATCTATGCTGTGTGTCTATTCTTAAATCTATATCATATATCTATATATCAATATATATATATCTATGTGTATCTGTGTCTATGATTATATATATATATATATATATGTCTATCTATCATGTGTCTGTGTCTATTATGTGTCAATATCCTTTTATATATGTGTCTATCTATGTATCATATCATTTTATCATCTATGTGTCTATTTATCTATCTATGTCTATTCTATCTATATTTGTCTATCTATGATATCTGTCTATCAATATATATCATATATATATATATATATATTTATATATATATGTCTATTCTTATGAATCTATATGTCTATTTATCTATATGTGTTTTTATGAATCTATAAACACCTATTATGTATATGGCAAATGTATCACATAAATGTGTCTGTGAAATATAAGAATATCTTTTATATATGTGTCTATCTATGTATCTATCTATATCTATTTATCTGTGTGTGTGTGTCTATCTCTGTCTATTTATATGTGTTCTATTCTATCTATTTGTCTATCTATGAGTTATATTTTATGTATCTATCTCTCTCAATATATATATATATATATATATAAAATATATATATATATATATATACAATTTTTTTTATCAAAATTTCTTTAGATACGGTTTTTCCCCTCGTTTGATTTTTAAAATTTGGTAAAATGTAGCTAAATAATTATAATTTAATCAGAAATAATCTTTGAATGAATTATAAAGTTTGAATTTTCATATTTCCTTAGATTGTTGGTATCCTTAAACAAAAATCCTTATTTTTAAAAATTAGTTTTTGAATCGGTGTGGTAAAAAAACTAGAAATTATTATGTATGTATATATATATATTCTTATACCGAGCTAAATGTATAGTCTGATGAAAATAAAATATATGAAAACAAAATTTTATCGCCAAAATCAAGACTAAGTAAAGAACAATATAATTTTAATTATTTTTTTCTGTCATTATTACAACATTCTAACTTTCGATTGAAAATACTAGTCATCACCGGAACTCTAGTAAATAACATGGCGACTTTTTTTGCATTTTTTCTTATGACACACATTAATTTTGAAAATAAAAATAGAAATAATATATATATACTTTCAGAAACTATTCAGAAATATGGAAATTATTAGTATGTTATTTTTTTTAAAGTCATTATAAAAAATATTTTTTATATATATTTGACCCCATAAATGAAACAAAAAGAAAACTGTTAAAGTTTATGGACGAATTATTATATTAATAAAAACACAAGGCTTTGAGGAAAGTAAATCAATTTTTTTTTTAAAAAATCCGAAATAAACGCGAAAATCATGAATTGTAAATACAAAACCCAATAAAACAAAAATGACATTTAATTTTAAATGTTTTTAGTTCTTTTATTTGTTTTTAATATGCATAATATTGTCTGAAGGCAAAAAATTTTTTTGATGAAAAAATGAATTTTAAATGAATTAATTGTTATTTAAAAAATTATTTTATTATTTTTTACATAAAACTAAAAAGTTAAAAGTTGTTAAATATTCTAAAATTAGCGGTATGAATGAATCCTGTATATAATGCCTATTTTTAGGTAGAATATATCTTACAGATTTAAATAGTACAAGGTTTTTTACAATCAACGAAAAAAGCAATATATATATATCTTAAATCAAATGTACGGAGGCCCGGAAGAAACATGATCCAATAAAAACAATACATTTGATTTTATCAACGGCCTTTTTTTTTTTAAAAAAAAATTTCATTGTGAAAGTTTCTTTAAAAACTGACAATTTTTCTACTTTTCAAGATTTTCAAAAATTTTGTCATAAGAAAAAATGAACAAAAAATTTGCCATGTTATTTACTAAATGATGACGAGAAACGAGATTTTTTAAATCAAAATTAAAATAATAAAGAATCAGAAAATTATCAAAAAATAATGAAATGTTAAGTAACATAAACATTTTGAATGATTTATCAAAAGCCGTTTTTTTGGTATGATTTTAAAGATAAATTTGTTAACGTAAAGATAAATTGCATTACCTTCCGTACTATAACAGAGGTGTTGCGTGATGAAAACACGCACTTAATTTGTCAAACCGCAGTTCAGAAGCTTTCTCCCATTTGAAAAAAACATGTTTTCATCACAGAGTTGAATTTTAAAATATACTAAGTTTTCTAATTTCTAAGGAGAAAAAAAGTTAAAAAAAAAAATCATAATTGATTTTTAAATAAAGTTAAATATCCTTTTGTAAACAAACAAAAACAACGGAGACTATCGATCATCTGTCGATTTTTCCGATTCAAAAAATTGAAGATTTTTAACGAAAATTTTGGACGTGCTAGAAATTATAAAAAATTTTGAAAAAAATATTCAAAAATTCCTCTTGATAATAACATTAACATTTATACGATAAAAAATTATTTTAATCAAATTTAAGGCCTTTTTTTATATGGTATGCTATTTTTTTATCGATATATATATATATATATATATATATATATATATATATATATATGGGAATTTGAACATTTTAGAAGATAGTGTAATTCAATGTATTTTCTTTTAATTTATCATATCTTTACTCTCTTGTTCCTTCGGGATATACGCAGCTATTTCTCTCAGCAGATTATTTTTTTCATCTGGGAATGGCAATGACTTCTACAGGGGTTGGACAAAATAATTGGAACACTTGTTAAATTCAAAGAAAATTTATTTAATATGGAGTTGGTCATCCTTTAGCCTCACAGACAGCTTTAATATGTCTAGGAATGGAATCATACAGCTTCCAGAGGAATTTTCAGTCATTCTTCCATTAAAACCTTCTCCAGCTCTTTATAACACGACGGTGGAGGATAGCGGCTCCTAACTTGTTGCTCCAAAATGCACCACAAATGTTCAATAATATTGATATCTTGAGATTGGGGAGGTCACTCTGTGTTCTAGCTCACTTTCATGCTCTTCATACCAATTCTTAACCACTCGAGCGGTATACATTGGTGCATTATCGTCTTGGAAGATGCAGTCACCATCAGGGAATAAAGTCTTGGCCATTGGATAAACATGATCTCCCAAAATGTTCAGGTAATCTTTGCTGTTGATTCTACCATGCAGGGCAGCTATTGGACTGAGACATTTCCATGATATGGCGGTCCAAACTATCACTGATTCACCTCCATGCTTCACTGTTGGAAGAAGGCAGTCAGGGTTGTAAGCTTCTTTGGGCTGCCTCCACACATAAACTAGCCCTGAAGTTGGGAAAAGAGAAAAACTGGACTTGTTTGAGAATATGACTTGTTTCCATTGGTCTGCAGACCAGGCATTGTGATCTCTGCACCATTTCAACCTTTTTTGGATGTTGCGAGTGGAGAGAAGAGGTTTCCTCACAGCGGCTCTTCCATGATATGCAGCCTTATGGAGCTCACGGTGAATAGTCTTAGTAGAAACTGAACTATTCAGATGGTTATTCAACACAGTAGTCACTTTGGCCGCATTTGTCCCATGATTTATTGCCACATTGCGTTTCAATGCACGTCAGTCCCTGTCAGTAAGTTTGCAAGTCCGGCCCGAATTGCTACGATTGCTAGAGGTCTTTCCCTGTTTCTTGAATTGCATCAGTGTTCTTGATATCGTAGCTCTTGAAAAACCAAACAGTTCAGCAAACTTAATGATCGAGGCTCCTGCCATGCGAGTTCCAACAATTTGCTCTTTTTCGAACTCGGAGAGGTCACGCATTTAACTCAAATTTTACTAAATTCTAAAAATAAATAAGAAAAAGTCAATAAATTAGATAAATAAATGTATTTACAATAGATATAACCTGCAATTACAAAGCTTTAGTTAAAGTTCTTAATATAATAGGTCTTTGAAATATAGGAGTGGATTTTGCAACTGTTCCAATTATTTTGTCCAACACCTGTATATAGGAGTGGTTCCCAGCCACATTTTTTTTTTTTAATTTAGAGTAGTTCCTCTCTTATACTAGCTGCCAACCAAGGCTAGAGATCCTAGTCTTCACTGATATTTAACTCATAGATGGTGAATGGAGTGATGGAATCATGCATTTTTTTTAGGGCATTAGTGTGAAAGCGACCAAAACGGAGTCTGTCAGAATTTGAATTCTTCCCGCCATTTCCACTTGCCGTGTCTATAACTGTCACGCACTTGGTACATCAAAGTATTAATTGCGATATAAACGGTTAAAAGGGTATGGCGTTGCGGTTAGCAAGCTTGCCCCGCCTACTAGTTTACTAGTGTATCAGGTTCAATCTTTACAGGTGTCTCACCACTACTCGGTCAGTTACGTGCCATACGCGATACACACTTAGGCGATCATGTATCTTTCGATACATAACTGACGAGGCAGATTTTTTTTCCCGCAGTAGGTTGCCATTTCTTTCTGCGGTAGACCAGTTGCCATCTAAGGCTATAGAGCCAGGTCTGTCCTGCTACTTACCCATAACTGGGGAGAGGAGAGAAAAAGAGGATTCATACCTTTCCCAAGGGTATTAGCACGTAAGTGAATGTAATGGATTTGACTGGAATTCGAACTCGCCTCTAACTACGCTTACTGAATAACTAAAGGATGCTTGGTATAGTATGTTGGTAAATAATTTAGACTGTCCGTTGTGAGTTGTAGGGAGCGCAAGCTTCATGCGATATTTTGCCCTGTTTCAAATTAAGATAAAATTAATGTAGATATAAATCTAATCATCATCTTGCGGCCTCAGCCGAGATTGAACTCACTACACCTTTCCAGTATTCCTTATCTGTCATAGCTAATACTTTGATTGGTGTAGTTCATAATCTTGTCAAATAGCTGAATTCTTGATGCTATCAAGGGTGTTTTTATCGTGACGCCATCACTAAATGGATTGCCAACCAAGGCTCAGAGACTCCATTCACCCTCCGCAGGTTTTGAATTCAGTTTTCCTTCTCCTAGACCAGTTGCCATCCAAGGCTATAGAACCTTCTGCTATTTACTTATAGCTGGAGGGAGAAGAGGATTCACACCTTTCCCAAGGGTATTAGCACGT